GGGCAGGGGCAGGGGCAGGATCGATTTCGGTTTGCTGGAGGGGAGCTAAGCTTTCGTGTGATGGAGGGAAAGCTACGTTATAAATAGACGCTGCGTCTTCAGGGCCTTTCAGTGTCCGAAAAGCCATTTGACCTTAGCGTGGATGTGACTGTAATGGACAATGCCCGTTTTCTAATGCATGAATGGACATGCTTATTCTGCAGTAATTTCGTCTTGTCCTTGTTTAGGTTGATCTGGTTCCAAACTGAGCTAAAAGATGTTGATAATAGCCCTGATTGGTTTATTTTTGGTGTATCAGAGTTCGTGGAAGCGTCCGGTTGCACCAGTATAAATCAATGGATTCCCTTTAAGGGTTGTGGTGGTGTGAGCAACAGCAGCATTCAGTCTCCTGTTGCTGCCCGATCCACCACCGCAGCAGTCTGTCCCCTGACCCCAGGCTATCAAAGTGGGACCCGGTCCTTTTTCCGTCAGGATCGCGAGTTGTGGCTAGAACCTTGTTATGATACCAGTGGGTGTATTTTATACCTCTAAACACATTTCACTAAGTTGTCTTTAATTTCTGCTTCTCTCATTTTTCTTTGCAGGCCATGATAAAATCCTACAATGCTGTTTTGAGTGGGTGAAGTGAAGGGGGGAAAAGGGGGATAAAAAAAAATGCCCAAGCAAACAGCAGTGACGATTACTTTGGCGACCCTGCTGGGTGTTGCAGTGGGGGGCCTGGTTTTGTGGAAAGCAACCCAGCGTCGGAAAGGAAAAGCATGCTGTAGTAGTCAGCGAGAGGAAGCAGTTATAAACTTGGGAGACGAGACGCTGGTTAAGTCAGAGGATAAGGAGGTGCTTTCCTTCTTCAGATCTCCCAACTTTTCCTGGGTAGAGAGGACCCTTGGTGCAGACATAGTGATAGTTTCAGAGCAGGAGGAGTGGGATCGTGTTGAACCTTTGCTGAAGAAGGAGCTGGAGAAGTGGCCAGTGCTTGGAATTGATTGTGAGTGGGTGAGTGATCAAGAAGGCCTCTCCTTTAGATTGCAAATTGCAACGGGAAATCGTTGAGGGTGGAGCGATTCCTTTGCTTAAATGGATACAACAGGACTGACTGTTGAAACTGCCTGTGTGATTATCTGTCGTGACAGCAGTGAAGTAGCTGCTAATTTTTGTGATTGTTCTCACGTTTAAGTGTGCTGACTGTAAGTTTTTAATTTACTAGTTGTATTCGTTTACTGAACTCCTGTGATAAATCGACTCTACTAAACATAGTGATAATTGTATGGCTAAATATAGCATTATGTGTTTTGTGTGATATCTTTTTAAAGGTGATTTACTAGAAGTAGCTTGAGTTTACACTATTTTAAATCCAGCTACATAGTTAAGAAACAATTTCTTAAGAATAATAAATCCAAAAAGAAGGATAATACAGATATGTAGATATAACTCACTGGGACTACCAGAAAGCAAAGTTCCTCTTCTGTTTGTACGTTTGCCTGTGTGAACTCTCAAAACAGGCTTTGAGTCATTTATAAAGCCTGGCTTTGCCGTTATTTTGCCTGGAAATTTATTCACCCCACAGTCATTAGTATAAGCCGCCGTCAAACAATGTGTTTGCCATAAACATTTATGTAGTGGGTGGCTTTGTGCTGATGTGGATTAAGAAATGTGTCTGATTTCTTCTACCAGCTCAGCTATGAGGGGGAAGGGTGAAAGGGGGAAAGTTTCTCTTGTTGGAGTGTGGCAAGAAGTAGCTTGGAGACAGTAATACTGTGAAACAGATCACATAACTTGCAGTAAAATTTTAGAGACATGTAACAGTACTTGACTGTGTAAACTGATAGGTATTTTCCATCTTCAGTGGCCTCTTTTGCAATTTGTTCCAGCTCCAGTGTTGCTAATAATACTGTAACCCAGACTCTGATTTTTGTCTTTATTTCAGGTATCTGTGGAGGGAAAAGCAAATCCTGTATCCCTCCTACAGATGGCTTCTTCCAGTGGCCTCTGCATCCTTGTTCGGTTGCCCAGGCTTGTTGCCAGTGGACAGACTATCCCAAAGACCCTGTTGGACATCATGGCAGATAATGCTGTGTTGAAAGTTGGGGTAGGATGCTGGGAAGATGCTTGCAAGTTACTTCATGATTATGGTCTTCCAGTCAAAGGGAGTGTGGATCTCCGGTATTTAGCCATGAGACAGCGGTGAGTGTCTGAAGACAGAGGCAGCTCTGTTTGAGGCATTATTTGAGTTGGAAATATTTTAAAAGTAATTTGCATATGCTGAATGATACCAGGCAGGTCGGTCTGGAGTTCTCAGAGTGGTTTTAGAGCATGAGCATTGACAGCTGCAGCCCAACGACATGTCATGCTTCTGATCCATAGTCTTAACGGAAATGAAATCTTCATGAAGATTTCATATGCTAATTGTGTCTGTTAGTCTTCTCATGCAATACCCATATGGACTTCTTTGAGTATCGTGCTTCCGCTTGCAAGAAGTCCAGGCATGGTGATGTAACGCAGTGAGAACGATCACTGTGTAAAGAGATGTTTGAATGCGCTGTCTAGAAGTATGGGGTAAATGTGCCAGGGGCATGTAAGTGGAACTGTTGAATTACAGGATTTTGAAAAATGACTAAAATACACCATCTCTAATTTTCTCTTCTAATAAAAATGCTTCCATTAAAAGGTTACAATTATGATGCCATTTTCTCATCCTTCATTCTTCCTAAAATAAAATGTTTTACTTGGGAATATTCTTCACATACAGTATATGTATGCCTGGGTGTGTTGTTAGTGATCTGGGGCATGGATTTGCTGACCTCATGGTGCCTTTTTGTCAGTGAGGATGGACTGATTGTCTCTAAGGGCCAGGATTCCTCTGAGTCATTCCTGGCTCTCATCCTCCTCATGAATCCCTGTGGCAGGCAGTCCATCACTCCATGATAGACCTCTTTAGTTCAGAAGTGGGTAGTTCAGAGCCAAACACTTCAGCCTTAAATGTTACCAACTCCCAGCCTTGCCCGTTTTCTGTATTGCAGGCAGTAGATAATTACTAAACCTAGAAAGGACATTTTAGCAGAGGGGAGGGAGACGGCCTGTAAAGCTGACAGGCAGCTGTGTGCTGTTTGAGTGGGAGTCGTGCATCATGTGCATTGTGTTCTGGCAGATTCAGTGTGTGTGAGACCATCCGAGTTTGCATGGATGTATGGTTCTGTTTTTAATATGTTTGTTTCACTTTCTTTATTAAACTGAAGGAAGGATCTACTCCACAACTGCCTTAGCCTTAAGTCATTAGCTGAAAAAGTCCTGAACTGCCCGCTTGACAAGTCTCCTCATGTGCGTTGCAGCAACTGGGAGGCAGAAGAACTGACAGAAGATCAGGTGTGTCTTCGACTTCAACTTAGTGTTTTGGGAGGAAAAGCAATGTTCTTAGTAGAGAAGAGATGTGACAATAGGGAGATCTGAGCTTTCTTCGAGTCTTGCCTCAAAACCTTGTGTGTGACTGTGGTCTGAAGTTAATTTCAGACTCTCTGTCTGTGTTTTGGTCCTTTTCCATTACGAAAATTTTCTATTACTCTCCCTGGATTCTTGACCCTTGTTTTCCTTTAAACCCGAAAGGTCTACAAGACAAGATCCTTTGAAGAAGTGTTTGTGCACCCAAAACCTCACCTTTTTATTATTTTCTTTCCTCCAATCTATAGCAGTCAGCGCAGTATAAGACAGAGACCCTGGAAACCTTTTTCACCCTCTTTAGACCATTATGATTTCCCTGCTCGCTTTCTTTACGGTCACGCTACAGATGTCTACAAAAGCGGTGACCAGTAGAGGGAGTGACAGGATAAATAACCACACTGAATATTCGTAGACAGTGTATCAAAAGGGAGCTTTTTTTTTTTAGTTAGGGAGGGCTTGGTGGGGCAGGAGGGTGTTGCTGACCTGAATTTTTTCAGTCCCTTGCAGTTCCTGGGGGGGACCTGTAAGTATTTCAAGTCTGACTGATCCTAAAAATGTGGAGTGTGGTGATGTCACGAAAGTGCCGCTCAAATGCCAGAACTTTGCATGATCTCCAGAAGGAAATAAATCCACCTTCTGGCTTTACTGTACCAAGTGTTAAAGACTGATCATGTTTGGGAGTGTTTGCTGTTTGTCAGCATCTCTATGTCTACGCTTTTCTGCAGGTTCTCTATGCTGCTAGGGATGCCCAAGTCTCAGTGGCTCTGTTCCTCCATTTGCTGGGATTTGCCAGCCTCCCTGCTACATCTGAAGGTGAAAACTCTGTCGCTGCTTGGGAAAAAGCACTGGGTAAATGCCGGGGCTTGGTGGATATCCCATTTAGAGGAAGAAGGAGTGGCAGCACAGGAGAGGAGAAGAGTGGAGAGGGACGCTCCCCTCAGAAAACAAAGAATCGGAAGTCTTCGGTGAATGGCCAGTCCTCTGGCAGTCAGCAAGTGAGAGATCCTCGGAGGCAGAAGCGAAAGCCTCTGGGTGTGGGATATTCTGCAAGGTAAGTCTGTGAGAGCGTTTCACTCCATGCGCCACAGGTGGAAAACTTTGAATGATGCCTCATGCTCTACTCATTAAACAAAGTGGATTTTATAAGCTAGGAAAGGAAACACAGGACCTAACAGTCATGGGAGCCAGATCCTCTTTCTGTTTTCCCCATTTCCCTCTAGTGGTATTGAAAGTGGGGGCAGCACTTGGGTCTGTACTAGGTCATGAGCAGCTTGAGGGGTTGTCTTCAGCTTTTGCCCTTCCCTCTCTTACGGAGGCATTAGCTGGAGAGCAGAGTCCCAGCAGGAGGTGGTTGGCTATCCCGGTGGCATGTACTGCCCAAACAGCTGTGCCCTGTCTCCTCCAGGGAAAAGGTGGCAACTGCATAGAGCTTGTCCTGTGAGCAGGATCTGTCTTGTGGACTGCTGTTTGTCCTGTGGCCACAGAGATGTCGGGGTACTGAGCACAGCTGAAAGCTAAGGTTAGGAGGGATGAGAGAGGTTATGTGAGGTGCCAGCGGGCACAGGAAGGAACAGTCTGTGGCGGCATCGAAGCACTGCGCTTCTGTGTTGGCCAGGGAGAGAGAGGAGGGAACGGTACTACTTTGGTCTTGCAGGGGCAGCTGTTGCTGGTTCGGGATCCGTGTCCTGCAGGCGATTTTTGTGGAGCAAATCCTAAATTCTTATGGCCTTTTGCTAATGCAAGTTCAGTTGTTTTTAAATTCAAACAAGTTGTAGAAGTCTCTTTAAGCTCAGTGCAGTGGAAGACGTGGAGGGCTGGTATGTTTGGTTTTGTTCAGATACAATCTAATAAAATTAATCACATGGATGTAGGAACTAAAATTGTCTGCAATTACCATTTGGAAAGAAAACCAGTCATTTTAGTATTTGTTTTCTCCTTTTCAAGTTTATTGGATTGGCAACGAAGACATTTTAATGCAGTCAATAATATTGATTTCATTAGCAGTCATTAATGGTATTGTGCTGTACACAGCAAGTCCCTTCAGATTTATTTTTTTCCAGTTGGAGCCTGTGTCTTACAAAACAGAAGGACTGCACCTCATGGGAGAATTAAAATTTAAACAAAATTGCATTCCAAGCTAAATTGAGATCTCCCCATGTTTGTTTGTTTATTTATTTATTGTTTTTAACTGCGCTTGACTTCATGAGAGATCTGTAGTCTCACTGTTTCTTACAGTATCTCCAGCAGTCTGGCTCTGGTCTGTAATAAGACTGGATGTGATTTCAAAAGTCCTTTTCCACTCTTCCCTTCTCTAAGCCTGTTCAGTTTTAATGGTTATTCATTTAGAGTTGGGAAGTACTCAAATTATCATGGTGATTGAGCTGAACTGCTGATGCTCAGTGGAAGGAGACCTCCTGCATCATTATTGTTTTGTTGTTTTGTTTTTTTTTTTTTCCCCCATGGACCTCAGAAGAAATCCTTTTGTCAGATTACATAGTCTGTAAATCAGCCTTTTTAGCTGGTAGAGCTCTGCTGAGTACTTATTTATATGGTCTTGCTGGAAAGAAAGGAAACTTTTCCACAGTGTATTGTGACATGTCTGTATCCCTGGCCAGCTCCTCCCAGGTGCCCCCCAAGCCCAGCCTGCTCTGCTCTTCAGTTTTGTTTGGAGGAGGTTGGCAGAGTAAGGAAATGTTGTCTGCAAAACAGAGCCCTTCCATATACTGCCACAAACCACCAAAGACCGCTCAAGCAGGACTTTTCGCCACTGACTGAGGTTAGGTGCTTGTGTTTCAGAGAGCCTCAGCTCAGCTTCATTGTTCCCGTGGACTCATGTGTTTGGGTTCCCAGTGCGTCAAGAGCTTTTTTGTAGTATTTCTCTTGGATGAATGAAGTAATTGCTGTTCACGCTAAGTTTTAGAAAAGTCACCTTAATAAAACATTAAAATACGGGCTTAGGGAGATGATCCTTGAAATTGCCTTGCCTGTAAGTTGACACTCTCTTTTAGCTTACTCTTAGCTCATTGTCCTTCTTGACTTCAATTCTCTTTTGTTTTCCAATGTAATTTTTTTTAAAATGCTGTCATCATTGATGGCATCTCTTGAAAACTGGGATTCAGAGTTACAATTCTATTGGCAGCAGGAGAGCAAAGATACCTTACAGTCAGTTGGTGAACCCCAGGTAAGTTTTTAGATGTTTTCCTTCCCTTAGCAGCAGACTGTGCAGTGCTCAGCAGCCTTAAGTGTGTGTTTAGGGGCGCTCCTGTGATTTGGAGGAGGCTGCATGAATTGCAGTGTGGAACGCATGGCTATAGAGAGCTCTGTTTTTTTGGCATGCTATTATAGTTGCTGTAATGCTGCCCTTGTTTCACAGAAAATCTCCGCTGTATGACAACTGCTTCCTGCATGCACCAGATGGACAGCCCCTGTGCACTTGTGATCGCAAGAAGGCTCAGTGGTATCTGGACAAGGGGATTGGAGGTGAGCATACCAATTTTCCTGTTGGTATTTGAAATACAGTGCTTTTTGGGTTTTTTGGCTTGTTTCTTAGATAACTGGGCATGAATTTTTTATATCCTTTCTATTGGAAATACTGTTGGGGATTCACTAAGATGACTCCTATGCTTTAGCATTGTCATTTTAGCTTTCAAATACGAATTTGTCTTGAATAGTCTCTATTTGCCTTTACCCTTTCAGAGCTAGTTAGCACAGACCCGTTTGTTGTGAAGCTGCGGTTTGAGCCTTCAGGACGTCCCGAGTCTCAGGTTGATTATTATCTGACAGTCAAAGAGAACCTGTGTGTTGTATGTGGCAAGCGAGAGTCCTATATCCGGTGAGTTTAGTGGGACAGGAGAAAAATGCATCTTTTAAAACAGGACTGAGGTCTGCATCTAGTTAAGCATCTAGAAGCTTGGCTGGTGGCCTGAAACATCATGCTTGTTCACATCCTGGATGGGCTATTGCTATTTGAATGCTCTGTAGTCGTACATGTCTGGGTAAGTTTGACACTGAACAGGCCAACCTTCCCCCCTCTTCCAGGGGCAGGCGGTGTTGGTCCTTGTAGAGAACAAAAGCATGGAACATATATGTGCTGCCGTTTGAATGACAGGGGGCAGCAGTATGCCAACCCAGACTGTTTTGCTGGCATCCCCTTCTGAAAATAGCTGTACTATTCCTTCCACTACTTAATCCTTATATTTTTGAAAGGTTGAGGTGAGCCTGAAGCCCATGAGGTCACAAAGGGTGGGATTTTTGTCTTTGCAGCTGCTGCTGTTTAGCTGAGAGGTATGCTTCTCATAGTGCATTGCATTGTTTTTGTTTTTGTTTTTGTTTTTGTTTTTGTTTTTGTTTTTGTTTTTGTTTTTGTTTTTGTTTTTGTTTTTGTTTTTGTTTTTGTTTTTGTTTTTGTTTTTGTTTTTGTTTTTGTTTTTGTTTTTGTTTTTGTTTTTGTTTTTGTTTTTGTTTTTGTTTTTGTTTTTGTTTTTGTTTTTGTTTTTGTTTTTGTTTTTGTTTTTGTTTTTGTTTTTGTTTTTGTTTTTGTTTTTGTTTTTGTTTTTGTTTTTGTTTTTGTTTTTGTTTTTGTTTTTGTTTTTGTTTTTGTTTTTGTTTTTGTTTTTGTTTTTGTTTTTGTTTTTGTTTTTGTTTTTGTTTTTGTTTTTGTTTTTGTTTTTGTTTTTGTTTTTGTTTTTGTTTTTGTTTTTGTTTTTGTTTTTGTTTTTTTTTACAGTATGAATCACTTTTTTTTTTTTTTTTTAATTGAAAGCAAATAATTTTTGGAAGGGGGGGAAAAAAAGAGAAATGCAGAAAACCTGTGGAGAGAAGTACAATTAAAAAGAAGTTGCAGAACCTGTTGCTGCACTGAGGGTCCTGACCCTGGGCATCATTGTTTTCCTGGACTTTTAGTATTAGTTGACCCTTTGTGGGCCAGGAAGAGGAGGAACCGGGGAGTAGCAGCTCCAGGCAAATGTAATGAGCTGTCTGGTTTGTCTTCCCTAGGAAGAACATTGTTCCTCACGAATACCGAAGACACTTCCCCATCCAGATGAAGGACCACAACTCCCATGATGTGCTCCTACTCTGCACGTCCTGCCATGCTGTCTCCAACTACTATGACAACCATCTCAAGCAGCAGCTGGCTGAGGAGTTTGGTGCCCCCATCGGCTCTGAGGAAGGCGTGCGTCTGCTGGAGGACCCTCTACGCAGGCAAGTGCGCTCAGGGGCCCGAGCCTTGCTGAATGCAGACAGCCTGCCTGACCCCCGAAAGGCAGAACTTCTGCAAAGCATCAAGGACTACTTTAACACAGAGGCAGTCACCCCAGAGATGCTCCAGGAAGCAGCTGGTCTGGAAACCAGGTATAACAAGGTGTAGATGTAGCATTTTAGTCATTTATGTTGACACATAAGTTCAAAAATAAAGTTGTCTACACACAGAGCCTTGGGTAAATATTACTGCAGCAAAATAAAAGAACATCCAGCAGGATTTGCAGAGCTGAGGATCACTCATGCTGACTCCCCCCTCTACCCCAGCTTTTTGATGAAAATAAGGCAAAACCCATTGCTAGTCTCCTTGGGTTATTGATGTATCTTCCCTAAAATAATGGTGTCGAGTTGAGGAGCGTCTGAATTTGTGAATACTAGGAGCTGATCTGCACAGGAAAAAAGAGCCTCTAAAAGCATAACATTATCATTTGTATAAGCCTGCAGAGTCTGGATTTATAGTAGTTTGATACATTTAACTAGAAAGCAAGGATAGGAAGAAGATAACTGTCTGCTGTAGCCTAAGGCTCTAAGCAGACAAGCACGCTCTGCATTTCTTACTGTGCTTTTGGCTTTGTTTACCCCCTTCTCCCCTCAACCCAGCAGTGGTCTGTGAAATGCAGCTCTTGTTTCTTCCCCTCTTTCTCTTCAATCAGTCTCCTTCTGTTCTTGCTCTCCATCTTCCCCTCCACTATTTTATACTTCTTTTGAAGGACAGATCAGGGAGGGAGACTGAAAGGCAATCGTATCAGAAGTCTCCTCTCTTCCTCTTTCTCAAAGCCTCCCCAAATATCTTTTCTTAACTAGTATCTGGTCTCTGCATGAAGTCAGTATTTTCTCCTTGTTATGCTTACTGCTGTTTGCAATGTGCCAATGTTGTAACTCAGAACCTATCCAGGCAGGGAATTCAGTGGCAGGATCAGGGCTCTGGAGTGTCACGTGGTTCTTGCCTTGAGAAATTTGCAGTCTATCTCCTGAGGAGCTTGTAATGGACTTTAAGAGCTTTGTTTACTATTGCTATAAAAGAAGAACACTTTCTCAGTTCAAAGAAACCAACTTCCCAGTGTAACCGTGTTCCAGAAAGCAGTCTGGTATTGAAGCAAAGCTTAAAACTCTCCCTCCTGGTTAGCTTACCATGTGTCTGTAATTAAACTCCGCAGCTGAAAGTATCTTCAGTGTCTTGCTGTTCATTGTAGACAGGTCTAGAGTCTGACAGTGGGCTTGTGTGAAACTAAACTCTGCTTGTGTCCTGGCAGGATCTGCAACGAGAGCTACATGCCACATGGGCTGAAGGTGGTGCAGTGTTTTGCTAAAGGAGGCCTGCGCTCCCTTATGCAGTTGGAGAGACGCTGGCGGCAGCATTTCTTGGACAGCATGCAGCCCAAGCACCTCCCAGAGCAATGGTCAGTGGACCATAACCACATGAAGCTGATCCGAAAGTATGGGGAGGATCTTCAGATCGAGCTGTCGTGAGACTAACTTCCTGGACTCTAGATACCGTCTAATGGACATATGTAACTGAAGGTGGAAGGACTGTTTTTATTTCTATGTCTCCACTAACATCTGGGTCTGGGTTTGCAAACTGGCAGCAGTGGATCTGCCAGATTTGGCATTTTATAGAGTTAAATCCATTGACTTGAATTTTCAGGTGGTTTGGAATTTTTAATCATAGTCTGTCACTGACTAGTTCAGTGCAAGAGTGATATGCTAAGGAAAAGTGACTATGGAGAGTTATTTTCTACCCCCTAGGATGGCTGATGCCTCCAGGCCATCTCTCTTAACACAGGGCACAATATATGAACATTTCCAGGTTTTCCAACAGATACATCTGCGCCCTTAGCTGCACCTTGAGAGTCTCCTGCTAAAAGTCTTTGCTTTCAGTGCAGTTGTACTCATATGAGTTCTTCTCAGAGAAGACTCCCCGCCAGAGAGAGATTCCTTGTTTGGAAGTGGCAAAGAAACCTTACCTTTTTTTGCGGATTGTGAGCTATATCAGCATTGCACATAGGCCTCAGTGAGTTTCCTGGTGGCAGGTGCCTGATGAGAAGTGATGCTCTTTCTTTGACTCTGGAAGCATCCACGTCAAGTCTTTTCTTAAACAGCTTCCAGCAACACACAGCAAACAACAAATGTTATTTCCTACTTCCACTTGTTTATCATGGATAGCTCTTGGTGGGTACCTTTTCATATCAGACTGAAATGGGATCAGGTGTCTTGAAAGGGATAAGAGGAAACAAATTTTATTTAAAGACCAGCATCTTTTAAGAGGTCAGACCATGTGTGGCAGAAAACTGGAAAATCTGGTGTTCTGTTCCTGGATTTGACGTGTGTGGTGGTGAGCAGGTCATACTCTCTCCATGCCTGTTTCCCTGTCTCTAAAATGGGACTAATAATACTTACCGATCTCACAAGGGTGTTGTGAGGCTTAATTAATTAATGTTTTTGTAAAATGCTTTGAAAATATAAGCTAGTGTGTGCTAATTATTACTGTTTTTTAAAATGTGCTGCTGTCTGACTTTCTTAAATATTCATGTTTTTTGCCTGGTGCTAGACCTTAGTTAAATATAACTTTTTAAAAATACATACCGCTTTCTGTGAAATCGCTTTTGGTGATTTTGATTGCATGAGATGAGTGTGCTTCTCCGGAATGATGAAGCTATGCTCAAGTTTTATAGGTCTCTGTAAAGCAGTTTCAGTAAAACCCCGAAATCATACTTCATACTACTGCGTATATCGCAGTTGACCCATATTTTATTATAACATTTGGGCAGAATCGTGGACCTGCTGTGATCGTGGCTGAAACACTCCCTTACCAGATAATTCAAGAAATTTCACAGGCCAGGGGTGAAAAACCCATTTGTAGCAGAGACTGTTTGAGATAAGTAGGAGCCATGGAGAAATGGTACATTAATGCCATCCCGGAGGAGGTGCAGTAGCAGCCCAAGCACAAGGAATCAAAGATTCATGATAAATACTACTTATCACAGAGCTGCAAATGAGACCATTTTCATTATAAGGGCAATTTTATTCCTTTCCTGTACCACTGACAGGTCTTAACAAAAACTGATCTAGCCAAATGTGTTCTGTCTCTGTGCTCATTCACACAGCTGATGGTAATCTCAGCAAGAACCTCCTGTTTACAGCAGCAGCTTGGGTATAACTATTTCTCTCTGAAGCATTTTGAGCATGTGTTCAGATAGTGCTGTCTCCTATCTTTAGTGCCATCTGATCAGGGTGGCGAGAGCTCTTTGCATGGCTCAGAAGCTCCTTTTCAACAATCAGGAGTACAAGGTGTGCATCTCACTTCTTCATTCTGCTTTGGTTTTCTCCCTTTGTTCTGATGCAGGAATTCCTGATAAAGCTGTCCTTGTTTAATGGAACCGATGGCTGACCCCAGGGCTGCTGTCTTTTCTGTTGGTTGAGAAAAGAAAATGATGTTGAGACAAGAATTGGACTACAGGTCCTCTAAATTTGAGGAGTCAGTGGTATCACTGAAGAGTTTTGTGGGTTGTTGGTTTTGGTTTTTTTTCAAATCACTTGTTCAGAAATAGAAATTTGCAAAGAGAACTTTCTTCATAAATATTTTCTTAACTAAGATTCTTTGCTGTTTGTAATATATCCTTAACTTGCATCATTTTAAGTCAACCTGAAAGAGGAGGGGAAGTGGTATATTTATTGTGCAGAAATAGGTTATTTTTATATAATTATGATTTTAAATTTTCTGACAGTCTACAGATAAAACTTTCGTGTATGTCTTCATCACTAATTGTTACATTCAGTAAAAATTTGCTCTTTTACCAGACTTACCACTATTGAAGCTCTTTTTCCTTTTTTCGCATGCCTGCTTTTTCTCTTCTTTCCCTGTTTCCGACCCTGTCCTCGTGAGTCCGTCATTCCTTATAGTAACACCTGGACCTCACCCTCTGAGTTTCCCTGTCTTCCCAGCCTTCCCTGGTCTGTCTGTCCAAGATCAGCCATGGAAGAGCCCATGCTGGCAGCAATACTGTACTTCTAAGCAGTGCGATAGCAAGTTTGCTCAGGTGTACTTGAATTGTTGTTCTGAGGCTCTCGGTGGATTCAGGTGCTGCCCTTGGCCTGGTTTTGCTGGTCAGTTGTGATGGCTACAGATCTACCATTTTTAAATAAAAACTTAGATTGTGCTCAACCTGAGCATTCATCTAGGTTGCCCCAAGTATCATACCTATACTAGGACCTTCCTGCACTAAACCACGCACATCCTTTTTTGTCTGCGGAGGGAGAGAATTGCCATGCCTCTCTGTGTGGGCTAGCTTTCACAACATGGGATTTTTCTTTCCATCGCTTGTCACTTTACGTTTGTAAGTTTGCCCAAGGTACGCTGCCAGAGATGGGGGACAGAAATTTTCCCTTTTACCTGGCACTTGATGTCACCTGCCTCAAACTGGTCCTTGCAGGTTAGTGGGGAGCACGCTCCAGCTGCTGAGGTCCGCAAACCTGTCTTGGTTTATGAATTCCCTGCAGAACTTGCCTTCATCCTTTTTGTTTCGGGTGTTTTGCCCATTTGAAATGGATGTGCTTTTTCTGTATGACTGGGTACATGTTTCCAGAGACACTCTTCTGGAGCGGGAGTACCAGCAGTCCCTGTGGTAGGTTAGCTTGCCTTCCCCCATGGGCTGCAAACTGATTTCTGTCTTCCCAGCCACTACAGTTTGCCTTTCTCTTGCCTTTGCAGTAACTTGGACATTATTGCAAGGTGCAGGAATTACCAGTCGAGCAGCATTTTTGATAGTCTGGCAGTTAGAGGTGCATTAAGTGCTGCATTTCTGAGCAGACCATACATGACATGTTAATTATGCTGCTGACAGACTTGGCATTTGGAGTGCCTTGGTTTCCCTCCTTTGACAGTCTGTCACATCCACGACTGACAGGACCGAAGACAACATACCCCTGTGGGCTTCTTGCATTTTGCTCTGTTTGATATTCACTAATGGCGGGGATGGGAAGCTAGCTTCCTGTTGCATTTCTATTGCTCTGGCTCCCTAGGGAGTATCTGAACTCTGCACTATCTCTAACGTGGTTTTGGAGGGGTTTTTTTCAGTGAAGGCAATGTGGTTAACCTTGAAAAGTACGTCATTGCTCTGGCCCTGGGCCTAACTGCCTGTGAGGAGCTGGGCCTTTCTCACATGCAGAGGGAGCCTCTGTAGTAAGGAGTCACCAGGAGCCCTCGCCAGTGTGCAGTGTTCTGTGCTGATGTAGAGGCACCGCCAGTCTGAACCAGTAGGTCGGTTCCCATCGCTGCTCCTTGATCTCCTCCTTTCTTCAGGCCGCCACAGTAGTCTAGACCTATACTGCCTTCTTCATTCCCACAGTCTGACAGAAGCTGTCGTCCCCTTGATGTTCTTTGGGAATAAGGGCCATTTTAAAGCCCTTTCATTTCTACGTAGTGCTGTGTTATTGGTGTACGGGCTTTTCCCCACCCTTGGGGGTACATGTTCTGGAAAAAGGGAGAGGCAGTTGGACGTAAGTGCAAAGAAGACATTGAGCTTTCTCTGTGAGTTCAGGGAGCCACAGTGTGCCCTCTTGTATTAGCCCTCGCATCAAGGGAGTTTTGTTAAATGCTTTTACGGGTAGAGAGGGTAATGCAAGAGAGCCAAGATGATTAAGCTTAGTAAGGGGGGGAAAACAAAACAAAACAAAACAAAAAGCCAAATAAACATGCATGGAACATAATTTTCCATATTCAAAACAGGTTACCACTGTGAGTTCCATCATGAACGGCAGACAGCTGCGTCGATGATTTTCTGCACCGAGGTTAGTGCTGCATCCTCTATTCCCACTTACCTATGACAGCGCTCGTTTCTGTCTTGAATTAGCCAGTGTGATACTACCTGGGGTCTTAGTGGTGTTGGTCGCCAGGAAACAGAGCAAAACAATCTTTCTTTTATTGTTTTTTCTTTGCAAGCTATTGGATAAGTTCAGTTTCTGAGATGGGGGAGTAAAGAGAACTGAAAAAAAAAAGAGGATGGAGGCTTTTATTGTAAAATAGAGATGTCATCTTCAGATAACAAGAAACCATTTCCCTGTCCAGGAAAAAACTCCAGCTTTGGCTATAGATGATATAAAATATGGCTTCTATCTTTCTTTGCTTAAAAAATTGAAAGATTGTGCAGTGGTTAAGGAGCAAAGAAGAGAAGACATTTATATATCTCAGCACAAGTGTGACAAGTCTGGGAAAACAGTACTAGGCAGCTGTCAGAAATGCAGGCTTAAGAGAAAAACTGCCTGTCCAAACTCCCTCCACAAAAACCTGCTGCTCTAAGAAGCTGTTTCACATTGTAGTGTGCTCCGTGGGGATCTGACATGTATCTGTTTCCCATTGATTAACAGCAAGTCCTTTCCAATTGATTGTCCTTTGAAAAATGCCAAACAGTGCTTCGCATCAGCTGAGGTCTGCCAATCGCTCCCCGCTTTTTCCTCTGTGCCTGACTCTGTCCAGGACTTTTAGCTGTAAAGAAAAGCAGAGAGACTGACTGCTGGTGGCAAGTTGTGAAAATCAGAGTGGGACATCCTTTCAATGCACTGCGAATAAAAAATTGGTATCCCTACTTCTCTAGCAAGGGCTATGGAGAGCCCAAATCTGAGCTATAAGTACGTGTATATAGATTTATGTCAGATTTTTGCTATTCGGATAATGCTTTCCATATGTTTTAAAAGCATTACACCCTTTTCTTTCCCCTTCTCCTGTGATAAATGGGTAGCGATACTAGATGTTGTTCAGCTGCACATCCCAAAGCGCTGTACTGATGTCTGAAAGAGCAGCTCCATTTTACAGATATTT